GGCTACTTTTGCTCATTCTAAAGCCTTCCTGCACTGGGGTGTCTCCTCTTTGCTCTCCCTTAATTGTCTGCAAATCTTCTCTACTTCATATGTGCTTTTGTTGGCTTAGAGTACTCCCATCCCAATCTTACCTCATTCGTTTTCACTTTTATAGTTCATCTACTTACTAATAGTGTGTGAGGAGCTATTTTATGAGGAAACCTGGAAAGCTTTACCAACCTAAAACTTGCCAAGAGAAGGTGTAGGTGTCTGGTGCTGTGCATATGCTTTCACATCTATCTTCTAGTTCAAGCACTTACATTGTAGGAAAATTACAATTCTGTCTTCTTGGCTTTCTTCCAACACTTTAAGGAAAACTATATAGCTAAAAAGTTGTGTGAGAACAGAAATTGTTCAATTCAATCCACTTCTCTAAAAGCTCCAAGTTTTCTAACACAGTATAGTGACCTACCTTTTTCTGTATAATGTCAGAAAAAAATAACCTTCTTTCCCTCTTAAAAACAACCTTGAACTCTAGATTTTTTTTTTCCTGGCCTGTTTTATTTTTCTTAATTAGCAGCTGATTAAATCACCTTGTAGTTCTATAATTACTTATCACCTGAGGGAGATCCCACTTCATTCAATGAAGGTATTTTAAGGAATATTTGACCTTCCTGTATTTTCAGGTAGTTTTTTTTTTTTTTGATTGTTCCTGATTCTCTTCTGTGCAGCGTTATGTGGCACATGGTAGCATGGCAACTAGGAAGGAAGCCACTGGGCAAGAGGAAGCCCTTTGACTTAGCAAGTGCAAAGAAATCTTCCTCTCCATAGGTAATAAGCTGGTTTCGTGTTAATCGAATAGACAGAAAGAGGAAGAAAGGAATAAACCAGTTTGTTTACTGGTTATTTCTAATCATTGATTCCACATCATTCTATTAGAAAGTTTCTGCTGTTTGCACACATTTTCCTTCCTATGCTTGAGTGTATTTTCTTCAACATATTGCCTTTTTCTAAAATTCATCTGATACACGTGTTGCATCACTTTAGCTTATATCAAAACCAAGGATCTTTGTGCTGTTCCGCTAGTTACAACTGATTAACATCTCTGTTGCTGCCACACTAGCCCATGGCACATCAGGCCTTGACAGGAACAAAAGGTAGGATACAAGATTTAACCTCACTTACAGATTTTTCCTCAAAAAAACTTCCATTACTTACTGAAAAATCTTTGTTCTAATCCTAAATGCTTTCAATTTTTTAAAAAAGGAAAATACATTGTGCTACATTCACAGGCTGGGAAAACATACAGGAAGAAAAGGATCTTAGGAATAAATAAGATTTTCCTTGAGAATAACTAAAGATGTAAAAAGTAATCAAGATGTAACTGGAAACATTACTGTACTCTTTCTATCACAACAGCAGTTCTGCTTATCATGGAGATCTTTAGTATTTTATCCCCATGTAAATCCATAGAAAGAAACATTCTTTGTCATGCTGAGTTCTCATCCTAAAATGTTCTTAACAGACGAGGGGAGGGAAGAAATGGAATGACCAGTGTGTTACAACTGACACAAACTGTTAATCCTTGTTTCTGTTACAAGCAAAAGCCATCCTAACTTGCAATTTATTGTATAAATAAATATTGCCCGTATTTGTTTTTTGAAAGCTGTGAAAGCACTTGACCCTGAACATTCTTATCGGGTCAAGGAAGCACAGAAGAACTGGAAAGAAAAAGAGATCTGTTAAGTAGTTTTCTAATGTAGAAAGTGCTGGCTAATCCTTATGAGAACCAGCAAGGAAGCTAAGAATTATTAACTCCAACCTGAAGGAGAGGCAGAGGTTAGCAAACTTACATATAGATAGAAAGTAGGGACTGGGGCAGGTGTTTGCGAGATATGTCTGTCAAGCATTCAGTGAAGACCCAAGAAAAATCTTTTATTTCTATCTCTCTACTCTATCTCATTATGGGTGGCAGATAAAGCATATCTTTGCCATCAGTTCTGTTTATTTATCAATCTCTGAAAACAGTTATCTGCTGCATTTATTCTCAGGATTTGCTTAATCCACCTCTGATACAAATTTACAGAAATAACACCTTTTTTTCTTATACTAGTTCAACAATTAGAAAGCCTCTAATAATTAAAAACTAAACAGTTTCAAATTTAGTATCAAACTCTCACACCTCTCACACACTGCTTGTTAATGAACTGCAATCAGTTTTTTGTATCAGGCACAGAGAGCAGATAGCAGAAACGGCAAGTCATGCCAGCATGTTTCTTGAATTGCTCTCTGAGGAAAAGGAAGAAGAGTAGAGGTGCTGTCAGTTTAATTATGGTTCTCTCCAGTGTTAAACTTCGCAATTTTGGGTTTAGGTCAAATAATTGGCTTGGCAGGAAGTACTGGAATAAACAGGATAAAATAATGTTCTGTTGAAATACAGCTTATACAGAAAAATTATTGGGTAAATTAGTATGCATTTTGCATGCTTGAATGGGTTAAAAGTTAGTGTTAAAGAAGAAACCATTCAGAAAAGAAATAATAACTCTAGTACAGAATAACGCAAAATGAAAAAATAGAACTAAATACTCTTTGAGCTGCAAGGAAACCTGAGTTCTGGGAAGATTTAGACCTGAAACCACAGTTAGCATAACGAATGTATATTTGTTATGGTGCTTTTTAAAAATCATGGGGCTTGGGGGGCGTATTGAATAGAAAAATTACCCAGTGAGAATGAGTGACTCCGCATTTGTTCCTGAAATAGCCACGTTAGAATAGGATGCTTTCTTCTGGTTTTCTCCATACCTGGAAGCTGTTGGTAAATTAGAGGGCAAACTGGAACCCTAACAAACAACTTTTCTTGCCTTCAGATTAACATACTTAATAAAAAGTCAGCTAATGTCTATAGCTTACATTTGACTACTAAACTTTCACTCCATGTCAGGATTTTTTTTGTTTTACTTTTTATTACTGAGCATCCCTTCTGTGGGCAGAGCCCATCAATATAATAGAACATTTTTCCTTGGTTTTACAGCGTAGTCAGCTTGACCTCTCTGAATTGACCACTCAGTGCTTGCGGCAGTGCCAGTGGCACAAAAGATCATTTCCTGATTTATAATTCTCTAAGCAATACAGAACAGCAGCTGCAGTCCCTGTGTACTTATTTGGGGCAAATATCGGAGAACCATGAGGCTGCTTTTCTGTCAAGACACACCTAAAAGTTTTAGATCTAACCATTCCAGTTACAGTACCAAATAGTTTCAACTTTAACTAACTAACTAAACTGAAGCCATCCCTAAGCGTACAATAAACAAAAATACACTTAGTAAATTAGACTATAAACATACAATATCACAGCTGATAGGATTTCCTTTGATAAAACTATTCCATTGGTTTAGAGAATGTATCTATGGCTTAATGTAGTTCTTTACTTCATATGGGGTCTAAACCAATAAATTTTGAGTAGGCCAGAGAGGACAAACATTTCAGGAATCATCTGAAGGCAAGAGAAGCAAAGAATTATAACTGACCCCTAGTCTAAGAGAGTCACAGTTGGAAGAGAACTGAAAATTTAGATAGCAACATGTTGTCGATGAGCATTTCCTCTGGGAATAGTATTTTGTGTGCTTACATTAACAGTACTTTCCGCTACAAATCATTTCACTAGTTTTGTGGTCGTGCTAATCAGCATAACTGGAGATACCAGATTTTGGTGCTTAGTAATTTCTGTTGTAGTGGATAAATATCCACCACTCGTATTTAGTAGTGCTCCACCATATGTCTTTAGAAACCTTATGCCTTTTGTACAGACTGAAAGCATGAGATTTGTTTTCACATGTCTTCCTGTTATTTGAAGATTCCTAAATGAATGCAACTGGTTAGGAAATCCTCCATACAGAGCTTCATCTCTAAGCCTCAGCTCCAGATGGAAGACATCAGACTGCAAGGATCACGTTCTTAATATGCAAGAGCTTAAAGTATTCAAAGCATTTTAAAAATTCAAAATTTTTAATGGTTAAAATACCAATCATTTTCCAGCAATCCAAGCTACTTTCTGGAATCCAATGCCAATGCCAAGCTCAGTACATTTTCTTTGACAATGAACAAAAAAGACCTACAGTACTGAGAACAACAGAACTACAAAGAACTAAAAGGTTGCTTAATTAGTATTTGGGAAGCTTAGGGCTATTTTCTATCTGTTAAATTTAATGTTTCAGCAAGCAAAAAGGCATACATACTTGGTGTTACTAGTGTTCTGGGCAATAACTGAGTAAATACTGGCAAATAACAATGCTGAAACTCTCAGAATTGCTTTAGTGCACGGCCTTCCCTTTGGTGGCATCATTTCCCATTCAAGAATATTCTTGATGGCTGTACTCAGGGGTGGGCTACAGGAGATAACCTTTGACAACTGCAGCAGTTTGTTTCTGTGGGACAACATCCATTCTGTCCACAAGTTTCCCTATTGTTGAGCTCTTGATACGCTTTCAGCTATATTTATGAACGGTTGCACCAAGAAGGGAACTACTGGGTGGTTTATGACAAGATTGCTGCTGCAGATTTGGTACCTACTGTGATTTGTGTCACCCATTTGCGCCTCAGCCATAAAGCTACACTTTTTATCAAGAATATTTGTGAATATATAACTGCTCTGAAGACATATGGCCAATAAATAATTCAAAGTTATCTATCTTCCCTGCAGTTTTCTTATATACCTACCACCTTTTAATGTTTAGTTGGCCTGGAAACAATATTCTTTATGGCACTTCTAGTATAAAAATGTTTACTGACTGGCAGTAGACTATTGATTTCCAGTATGATACCTTGAAAATAAAGCGGTTCTCCCCCCCAGTCTCCATCTGCTTTGCTCTTAATTCTGCTATCAGCCCAGAGAAGCCTTGTTTTGCATTTTGAGTCCCTAAAAATGTCCGTTTTCAATTACTGATTCCAATATCATAACAACGTGATTGAATTCATTATTCCTTTTTCTCTCCCTTTCCCCCATCCCTTTGTTTTCTTTTCAGCTCTATATCCATTTACAGTCCTAAGGAGAATCCTAATGCGTTTGATGCTGCTGCTTTCTTCCAGTCAGTGGGAAATTTCCTGGGGATCTTTGCTGGATCATTTGCAATGGGATCCTCTTATGCTGTTGTGACAGCTTTAATATCCTTTTACAGTTTGTTTTCAGAGAGAAAATCTATATATTTTGGAAAAAATGTGTGATCTGAGACTGACCATCTTTAGTTTGAGCCTGAACCTTTTCACTATTGATTCAAGACTTTGCAAACAAACAGTCAAATCATAAACTGATGGGAAATTTCACTTGTCAGAATCCACAAAAAGCTTAATTTGCATATTTATTTTTAACATTAGGCAAGACTCTGGTCTTTATTTTACTATTTCTAAATACCTACATTTTTAGGAAAGCATTTTGAAATATTTTGAAGTTAAACCATGAATTTGTGAACTACAGCAACTTACAAACTACAGACTAGCAGCAATTATACATAAATACAAGGCAAACACTAGACTACAAACCAAGTCAGTCAGTTTGCCTAAACTAGAAATAAAAGGCATATCTGTTGCTCTGCATTTTTTCTTGCACTTTACAGTACTTCATGTAAAATACTATCGTAGAAAGAGCAGTGATTTTCATCTTGCTTGCACTGATGCAAATGTAAACAAACGGCAGTTTGTTTACAAAGCTGGACAAAATTACTGTCTTTTCCCTTTTTCTGGGAAAAGAATGCAAAATGCAGCCAATTAGGCATAAGTTCAAAAGCCACAAAAGTACTTGAAATAGCTGACTTGTAGAATGTATCAGTTTAAAACCTGTGCTGGATTTTCCTCTTTGTTTGAGATAATTTAGGAGCTGTGCATTTTTTCCTGAATTCAACTTGTCTAGATGAGTATAGGGGGGAGCTTGCTTTCTTTCATCCTTTATCAGGTTGGGGGCAATTTTATTTTACAAAGCAGTTGGTATTTTATTTTTCCTTAGCAATCTTTTAGCACTTGACAAAATTTACAAAGCTGTGTGAGTTCCCTATGTTGGAGACAGGTCTGTTTTTCCTCCTATCCTGGAGTGCCTTCTTATCAGCAGAAGCTGCTGGTCTTACAGGTAAGTGTTGCATTTTATTGAATAAAAGCAGTTTTATAATATGCCTCTAGCGTGGCAAAATGGCATGTTTATTTGGGGCATGGCATCATACGTGAAGCTTCTAAAAGCCAGTTGCTGTATTGGAGATGGTTTCATCTTTAAGAATAAATCTATAGAGACTTTGAATAGTTTTACCAGGCAAAGACTTATTAGATCAGACTAGAGTCCTTAGTCTTTCTTCCCTACCTTCCTTACACTGTCCCATCCCTATTAGTCCCACTATTAATCCGTCTATTTTCTGCCCAGCTATAGGACCAAAGGCGACAGTAAGTATGAGGAAGCAAATATACAGAGCCATGTGACTGTCCAAGACTGTGTGCTCCTCTGCATGCACTGCATGTCCTGGTACCTACTCCTTTTTCCCAACTATCAATGACTAAACAGAGGACAGGGTCATCCTCAGCATTGCCAGTGGGTTGCAGCCACCTCTGGATTTAAAAAAAAAAAAAAAAAAAAAAAATTCATCTTGTTCAGTGTGCCTCCATAAACAGCTTTTGCAGCAGGAGAAGTACAGTCATGTCCCAGCAAGAGGTAGAAAGACAAGTGATCTGATTGGTTTTTTCATTAACACTGAGAAAGAAATTGTGCAATCACAGTCAAATACATACTCAGGGACTGCTTTTTACAACGAAAGGAGTTCACAGTTTAGGCAAAAATTGTAAATGAATATAGATTACTGAGAGAGCAACCTATTGTATAGCATGATTTGAAAGAACAAAGTTTGTAAGAGCTTGATCATTTTAATGTTCTTGATGCTGTCACCTCTAAAGTCTAGTGCTCTAATTAATGTCAGGGAAAGTCAGGGGAAGAAAACTGCTTAATGGAGTGTTAATGCAGCCCACTGTTCTGTTTGCAAAATCATTCAACGCCTTTTGAAATCAAGTTATGTTTCTACTGACTTCTATGGAGCCAGCATGTTACTTATTTAATATTAGCCACACAATCACACTATTCCAGAATGGGCATAAACATCTACATCTTCTTACAACATTGCTTTATTAAATATACGATTTTGCATCCTGCTTGCTGCCAAAATCTTCAGGTCAATTAATAAAAAGAGGAGCGCATGAACTGAACTAAAGGGCGGTATTCCATCACATGGCAAAAATCAGATACCAGCTGGAATAAAAGTCCATTTTGTGTCTTCATGCTTAATGGCTCTTAAAAATATGACATGATTACTACATAAAAATGGAAGCCAAGAAGGATGTTTGTTAATCAGTTGCCTCCTACTGGAGGTAATGTTTTCCTAATCCAATGACTTCCAAGGAAAGAATGTTATAAAATACATTCCTAGCTGAGAACAAGGATGCTGTGTTTCAGCAAATACACAACTCATAAGTTATACATTATACCCCAAATCTGGATTTGTAAGAGAAACACTAATATCTTTCAAAGCCTCGGGTGCCTCATCAAAGGTAATTTCCATTTCTTGGGTATAGAAACAGACTGTATGTCCATACAAAAAAAAATTGGCATATGTCTTTCTTGCATACTGCAAATGTGATGACAGACATCAGTGTCTCTCTTGGTAGTCACTCTGGTGTGACTCTTTCTTTTCTCTTTTCTTTTACAGTTATAAAAAATCTGAAATAAAAGACCTAATTATTGAACACTACGGATGTTTTTTATGGTAGCTATGGTAAGGAATTTTAAATGGACAGAGGGAGAGCCAGAGAAAGAGAGTGGAACCAAAGTAAAGTGCCAATTTAAGGGAAAAACAGAAAATTGTTGGGAAATTTAGCTATTTCTTATAAACAGAGGAATTGATGCACACATATAAAAGATTATTGCTCTGCAAACACACAAATTCCAAGGAAAACATACCAAACTCTTTTAGGACTGTCACCAGCCTTTTCATGGGTGTGTTCTGAGTTTCAGGTGGAAATTATTTAATCACACAGCTGTGAGGAGGCAAAGTTTAATCTTGAAAGTTTTATCAGTTGAGTCTTTGTCATTTAGTTTCTGTGAAAGGCTTTTGTCAGAAGCTGTTAGGATGGAAAAAACTCATGGAGCCTTTCTTGTAGATTCAGAAGTTCAAAGCTGTGTTTTGTAAATGCATTGACTTTATTAGTACTGTGCTAACATTACACTGCAGAGGGGATATTTTTAGTTGTCTGGTTTAACCAGTTTTGATGTTGCTTTCATCTTCTCTCAGTCTCATCTGAAATGGCTCCAACTCCCCTCCTTTCATAATATGACTTTAAACTTCCAGTTCCGCAAGAGAATTACTATATTGGCTAAGAAATATTCAGCTGATACAGGTTCTGTTGGAGGTACAGATTTCCAAGGTGGCTCTGATTTCTCATACCCATGCTAAGGAAATCTGAGTAACATGCAGTTACTGCGTGCAGTCTCCCACACGGGTATATTATGTATGAAGCACCTCTTGCAGAAGGCGCAGGGAGCCCAGGGGAAAGCCAGTCATCCTTCAGAACACACTCAGCTCTTAATCGCTCTATCATTTCCAGTCTTTTCCAGCTTACTTGCTTTGTCCTTTGTCTTACTTAACGCACCTGGTTTTACAACCACGTGTGCCTATCCTCAAAAGTCATCATTAGAATTAAATGAGCATCGTAACTATGCAATGACCCTGCTGGACCACTCCATTCAATGAACTGAATTCCTAGTTTGAAGTCTTTGACTTCAGCAGACTTGCTTCAAAAATTTACTCAATCCATTGTACATTTATGCGTATGTTCATCTTCATTTTCCTTGAATATTTTGTTTCCTCTGTTCATTCCTTCTAAATGAACTTCAAAGGATTAGCACTATAAATCGACATTACCCTGTAGCTATTAAGTAATATAATTGCAAAAACTTTATTCTTATAATGCTTTCCACACTAGTTTTTCAATCACTTACAGCCTTTTGAAGTTTAATATTGAAGCATGTCATAATTTATGAATAACAGGCTACACTGGTTTTTGTAGGTGGTAGAGCTCTACTTGTATTACTTGCAGATTTTTTTAAATAAACTGTGAGTGGAGAGTAGTACAGGTCAACATTTTATAAAATATTTTATTCCTGTACCTCAAGATATCCCATGATATATAACACACAATATACGGGCCTGACCCTGGTTGAAAAATTGATGTGATCAAACCAGCAAATCAAAATAAAAATCTGGGATGACTACACAATTATTGTTATACTGATAACTGTAAATTATAAATTAATGTTATGGTTATTAATCTTATAGCTATATCATCAAGCTGTGACATATGCATGATAAATTGATTTTTATACAGTAGAATCTAATTTGTGTGTACTTTCTGATGTGCCCTGAAGTATATCATTCCTGACTGCTGAGCAAAGTTGTAATAACAGAGTACTACAGTAAGGTCAGTGTTAATACAGTTGCTTTCATTTTCAAACTTCATTACAGAGTATTTACTAGTAGGCTATGAAAAAAAATCATAAATAATTTAAATTAAACACTTGTCAAAATACATGAGGAAAGCATATCTTGCATTTATTAATTGCCTGTTCTCTTGCTTTATAATTAACAAATTTGCTAATTTTTAACTGATCACTCAGTCATTAGTCTGTGAAAGATTCCATGATGTACATGGGCATTTAATGTTCACCTCAACTAGAACCTCTCTATCTACAGCTGTTTGAACTAAGTAGATATTAAAATAAAAAGATATTAATATACCCGCAAAAATGCACTCAAGTATATGTATGTGCATTTATTTGTTTTTATGTGTTCAACTAATGCGTACTTCAGAGTCATATAGAACTTATCAGAGTAAAATCATCAAAATTACAGCCAGCCGCCTCTGATTTTACATGCCAAAGATCCGTGCTATGAAGCTAAGATAATAGATCTTGAAGGAAAAAATGTTGGAGGGGATCATCTTTGTTCCTTTACTGTTTTTCAAAGCCCAGCCCAAAATGATTGCTTTCTGATCACTATAAAGGAAATAGCTTGTGATAATAAATTACTGCTGCTTCCTCAACCTCAGCTATTCTTTTGTGAACATTTTGTGGTATGTCTGACACCTGCCTTCTTAGGGGCTCATAGGAAAGCACAGTCTACTCAGTGAGAAAGGCTTTCCTCCAAAAATAAATAAGCAGCTTATTATGACTGATGTACCCAGGACAATTCCAAAGATCTGGTCTCTCACTGGGGCAGTTTTGTGCTACCTTTGTATTTAGGATATAGTAAAAACAAATATCACCAACTTCTATTTCCTTTAGTACTGCTGACAAAGTGCAGTTATTCTCATGGCTGTTCACTGTTCCTATCTGTTTGTTGTAATTTGTCTTGGATCCATCATCTACTTCATTGCTTTGTTTTAAATGTTGTGACCAATTCTTCTTGTAACACTCTCAGAAGGGATCTATCAAAACATTTCTGTCTGCAGTTCTGAGCACTGTGAGCACAATGCAGGTTGGTACCTGACCAGCTTTAGTTCACTGGGCTGACATTATTCCATAAAAGGAAGTTACTGTGGGCTTTAAATGCTCAACTTTGTGGTTTTCTTTCCTTTGTTCATAAGTAACATGCCATGTTCTGTCATACAGAGAATTGGGTAGACTCCTCCCAGTAACGAGGGAGAAGGGATAGCTTGGCTTCTAGGTCAAAAAGAAACAAAACTCAACTCTTAAGCTATAGTTCTGCCGCTCGTAGGAGGAAAGGATGAAATCTGGGTCTAACTAGGAAAGCAGGCTCTTCATAGATAAGAAAATAGCATCTGTACCACTGTGCAGACATAGTTGACAACTGGCAAGTTTGCCACAAATTACCAATCCATTACTTTTCCATGGGACTTCAGAGATGGCTCTGGATCATCTATGTGGTATTCTAAGATGGGGATTGTCAGGTGGATCTTGTAGGTTAGAGGGTGCTCTAGATATACTTTGCTGACATATAAGCTAGATCCAATACTCAGTTTCAGTTATCCCATTCACCCTTTCAACAGCATCACTTGACCAGACAATGCACACACTTG